GAAGCCATTGCTCTGCAATAAAAGTGAAGAAGCGTGATTAATTTTGATCATCATAGAGATGGAATGGTCTTGCTTGTTCATAAGGAACTCCTCTTTTTCTATAATTGACTACAACATAATTTTGCACAGGTAAAGTATGGTTATCTGGATTATGACGTAGATATTCTCCAGCAATGATATAGGCGTGGGCTGGATTCTCAGCTTTATATACTACTGCACTGTAAACTGCTCCTAATTTACGTAAATATTTAGGAATTAAATTATAATCTTTTAAGAATTTATTGAATCATTTAACTCCTGGCTTACCTGGATCACCCATTCGTCTAGATGATATAGCACGCTGAATTCAAGTGAGTAGTTTTTTGACTCGTTCTTGATTCTTTTTCATAGATCTAAATTTTCTGGGAATATCTGGCTGACCCCAATTCTTTGCATAACCCATCACTCCAGTATCTGTAATGCATAAAGTTGTAAGTTCAGCAGGACGAATACAAAGCATCACCATAATATCTGCGAGAGCTTGTAAGCTGGGTAAAGTAGATACATCATAACCATCTAATCTCTCCTTGACTGATTCTAACGTAAAATGATCTGGATAGTCAATACGATTAGCTTCAGTCTTTTTCCGATTGACACTTTGGATATTGTTAGCATCTTCTGTAATATTTGGAAATTTTGTGGCATCGACTATGGTGGGTAAAGCACCAAGACTTTTTAATTCTCTATGAAGACGAGAGAGACGTGATGAACCAGTATTAGCATTTTTTGCTGATAGGACTAAGGCGTAAGCTTCAGCTCTTATATCCCGAATACTAAGTTTATTCCGTAAAATCTGTTGCGCCATATCTCCGATAGTTTCTTCTAATTTTTGCGGAGTCAGATCCGGAATTTGACAACCATCAGGAACTTGGTAACTATTGGGAGTCGCAAGATTTACTGCAAAGCAGAACACTTCGTGCATGACTTTTTTTTCCCGCTTCTCTGATTAGGTATCAATACACCTATTTGTTCACTGCTAAATTTGAAACCATCTCGAAGACGTCGTCAAGCTTGATTCCGCTTTCTATCATCAGTAAGGTTTTCAAGAAATTCTGAGGTGTATTGACTGAGTTCGGTTACACTCATCTTGGGGCTGAGATTGTATTTTTCAACGATTTTAGTTACGATAGCTGACATGATTGAATGTTATAGTAGGTTGAGTAGGTTATGAACGATTCTTTAGGTTATATACACTAAAGAAAATATTTTTTCAAATCAAAATTAATTATGTTTTTTTTCTGAGCATGGGAGGAAAAAATTGGTCAGATCGGATCTGTCAATTTAAATTTTACTAATACATAGATTATTACGAAAAAATTTGCTTCGCATATACGTTGTGCATATAGCTCTGGAAATAGAGGTCCAGGTTATATTAAGATTTACTATTCATTTTTCTATTATTTAGTACACCTATCCAAATAAATTCTGGTACGATTCAGCAGTTATAAGATATTTGCAATATATGTTCGGTCTGTTTTGTAATATTTCGGGTGATGGTATTACTGCTGGCTTCCATATATTAAATAAGAAGGCTGTGTGATCCGAACAACCATAATCGATATATTCAGATATTTCTGAGTAATTCGATAAATCACTAACATGTCTATATTCATTGCGGATTAATTTACGGAATGTTGGTCCATTCAGATTTATCATCCGGTCAGTTAATAAGTTGAGCACTTTTTCTGGGGATTCCAATTCTTGATCGTTCATTTTGTTTATAGTATAGTATATATATATCATAAAAAATACGTAGTTTGTAATATTTTCATTGAAAAATTTTATATTAGCTAGTTTGTAGGAGCAAAAAATCCTCCTATATCAAAGCTCCTACCTGCAAAATTTATCTATTCGCTCCTTATCGATTAAGCAATTACCATAATATACCATTTTCCTGGAGTATGTTAACCATTTTTTTCCATTCCTCATCAGTATCCAGCCATGATGAAATGATTCCATCTTCCTCGAGAGAACGGCAGATTATTTCTTCACTTATTAATCTTTCTCGCACTGTCATATCCATATATTCACTGGGGTCTTTTTCAGCCTCCTTTGCAAAACTACACATTCTCGCATCAGTCTGCATTCTATCACGGAATGCTATGGAATCGAGCTTATCTTTATCAGTTATAGTAACGAATTTGTTGGGATCTTTGCCAAGTTTGATGACTTTTTCACGAAGACGTACCTCTCGTTGCTCTCGGGTTAAATAACCAGGCGGGTATGCTATCTGGGTGGGAGTTGAATCAGAGATTCGAGACTTTGTCTCTTCTTCGTTACTGTTTTTTGGTTCATCATTTACAGGTAAGCTGGGAGAGATCTCGGAAGGAAGTTC